GTTATTGGAATGTTCTATAAATGTCAATTACACCAAAATGAATTGTTGGTGTTTAGGTCTTCTATGTTCTTTTTGATCTTTTCAATCTCTTCTAACCATTGCTAAGGAATGCTACAGTCTCCCAATGTAACTGGATTTTTCTGTGTTTCTTCTGTTCTGTCAATTTTTACTTCATGTCTTTCAAAGCTATAGCAATGCATGTGTAGATATTTAAGATCTTTCTATCTTCTACAAGTATTGAGTCTTATTTGTAATGTACTGAAGTAAGGCAGAAGAGGTGGGACACCTGAGGAATTTTTGGGAAGCAGGTTTATTGACTGCAGGGTTCAGTGGTGGCTTTCGCCCAAGAATTCTTCCACTGAACAAATATTTTGCAATTTTTTGAACTTTATTCCCAGTGTGTGTGTGGGGAGGGGGATCTTGGAGGTTTATGTGACAAGTGCTCTTTGTTCCATCCCCTAGACCAGAGACACAGATTTCACAAGTTTTTAACCAAGAAAACAGAGATAATATCTTTGTACAACAAGATTGCAGACTATTTCTGTCACACCGTTTGTGTGCAAACCTGGAATTTACAAGAAAGAGGGAACTACCAACTAACAATAACCTCTGCAGACATCCTGCTGATCTGACAAGAGGAGATGCTTAATTATGGCAAGGGTCTTTAGGGGTGGGGAGTATCTGGTCTGCTCCAATACCTCTTTATCTGTGGGATGTTCCTTAGCAGGTTGTCAACCTGCTTAATTTCAAACCACAAGTTTTTTTTTTTTTTCCCCCACATTCTGTGGGCTATAGTTCCAATCTCAATTTTCTTCTAGCAGCTTTGGGTCTGTCCTGCTTATATGCCTCTCAGATGTTCTGTGACTTGAGTTGGGGTTGGAATTTTAGCTCAATTTTTAAAACATTTGCCATACTGCCTTGAGTCTGTCTCCTACAGGCAGGCTCAAAGGTGAGCCCGATACTGGTATGGGTTCCTCTTCAAAAAAAGTGTAGCCCTTACTTAGCCTGTCTTCTCTCTGGAATTTTCCCCCACCTGCATACTCAAATTTCTTAGTGTCCTTTATTCCATTCCTCTATTCAGAAATACAGTGTTTCTTTTGTAGTTTTTTTTTCTACTTACATCACCATTTAACCTATATGTAGCTTCATTTCCTACATTCTGACTTTTCTCTATAATGTACTATTTTTTTTTTGGTACCAGGAATTGAACTCAGGGGCACTCAACCACTGAACCACATCCCCAGCAGTACTCCACCCTCCCCCCCCCCTTTTTTTTTGTATTTTATTTAGAGACAGGGTTTCACTGAGTTGCTTTGTGCATCGATGTTGTTGAGGCTGGCTTGGAACTCATGATCCTTCTGCCTCAGCCTCCAGAGTTGCTGGGATTATAGGCATGTGCCACTCACTGTGCTTGGCTCTAAACCTTTCACAGACCTCAGGAAGTGGCCATCTGTATTTTGTCAAGTAGTTTTCCTTGTAGTCAGAGGGTAATATGGACTGTACTGGGATTTCCTTTAATTTATTGTTTTGGGATCATCAAGAAAATGGAGAAGTCTTCCTAATTTGGGAGGATCAAGGAGAAAAATAACAGTCCTGGGGCCCTGGGAAGCTTTAGTGGCAGGAGAGGATAAAAGATTCAGGTGGAGCTTTGCCTGTATCAGCTTTTCTTCATTCTTTTCCCCTGCTCCAGAGAAATTTACTGACTTGTGCCTGTGAAAATATTTGAAGAAACCCAGAGCCCTACATTTTCACAAAGGATATGAATCTGTTCTTCTGAAAAGTCTGTTGCCCAAATTTGAAATTGTTCACTCAATTGGAATATTGCCCCTGCAGGACCACTCTTTCATTCTTAGGGTGGGAATTGATTTTTCTTCTCTTATTTGTCATGTGAGAGTACTAAGTATATTACAACCTCAGAATTTTCACACATTATTTAAAAACCTGTTCACAATGTGAGAAGGTCTTGCATAGGCTTGTCTATGCCAATGTGTAAAAACCTCCAGCTGCCTTTGAAATTGTGAAGACAAGCCATGTGCCTCATTAAGTATACAGACTAATGTCTGGGGAAAGTGAACGCTTTCTACAGGCATTTTCTGAACTTTGAATTTTTTCCTTATTTAAAGTGACTTCACCCTAACCTCTAAGTTTATGCACACAAATGAATGGATCTTTTTTCTCCATAATTATAATAGCTGCTTACAAAAATACATTTAGACACTTAAAATTAGCGAGGACGTAGTTGAAATTTCTGATTTATATAAGTTAATGCTTTTGGAATAAGCACATCTAAGTGTTTATACTTAAACACTTGTGTGTGCAAATTCTGCACACATCAAATTCAGAATGACAATTTACTAGTCTTGGAATTGAAAACTAACTGATATAGCGTTGCCATATTCAAACTTATGTTCTCTTCAGTTCCTTGTCCATACTTCCTACTTCCTTTGATTCTCAGCTTTCAAAAGTTAGGCTATTCAAAGGTTTCTTTTTCTGTTAGTAAGAAGACATGGAAATGTTCAAAAGAGAAAAATTTAAAAATAAAACATTTAAGCATTTCCATAATATTATTTTGAAATGGGCTTGTGCAAATATGGTACAGATTGGAATTTGAAAAGAGAAAGGTCAGAGGATTCATGGGTCTCCTATACTCTCAAAATGATATGTCTGAACACACAGATGAACACACCCTGAGAACAGGTTCTAAGAGGGGTCCCCACCTCCTTATGGGGGTTTCCAATAGAGAAGTCACTAGCTACATATAACTTTATAAATATAACTATTTAAACTTAAATTAGGATATACATTTTTATGAAGCAAGTGTGATAGTTGCTGCTGGAGAAAACGTTTTGAAACAGATTGCCAAATAGTCTGGTCTTGTTGGTCAGCTTCTTTGGGGAGTTATTGGAGACTTTGGGAGAAGTTGAGGTCATGTTCACCCCTCTTCCTGGGGAAGAGCAGCCCCCATGCCCAGTTACATGATTGCCAAGCAGTCCAGAGAGAGCTCACAGGGGTTTTGGACAATCCTGCTAACACTTCAATGTCTGCATTTGATAAACTTTTAAATTTTGAATAACTTTTGATTAATAAAAAGATTACAAAGATAGAATAGAGCTTTCCTATATATACTTCAGTTATAATGAATGAAACATTGTTAAATCTAAGAAATTATTAAGTAAACTTCAGACCTTATTCAGAATTTACCAGTTTTTGCATGAAGGACTTCTTTCTTTTCCAGGATCCAATCTACTGTACTATATTACACTCAGTACATTATCTATTTTTTTATGTGAATGAATATTATGACTTTTTGTCCCTGAAAATTTTCTGAATGTAATCCTTTTGGAAATAGTCATAAGCAAAATAGTAGGCAGAAGTGAACTGATTGCGAGTTTCAGTGAGGAATGCTTCATATTGACACTTGACACTCCAGGCACCAGGTCTTGATCAGGATTGTTTGAGGTCAGGGACTTATCTTTGCACCATACTTTGTCCTCAGCATGATGCCTGGGCCCAAGAGACATTCAATACACATAATGAAATTAATGAACAAACAGACATCACTCCCTGAAGCTTACCTGTCCTGGTGCAACCTAATGTTTCAACATCAGTACCATTTTATTTTTAGATTTCAGATGGTGTCTTGATGAATCTTTAGTTTCACAACAATATATATGGTTGAGGAAAGATTAGAAAATAGTCCATCCTTTTTTTTAAAACAAAGTATAATAAGAAAAACTATAACCTGACCATTATTCATGGATAATATAGATTCTGCTAGACGTTACTACCCACTTCTAACTTCTTCCTCTACTCTGATTCTCTTTGTTAAGAAAAATCAACTTTCTCAGTAAGGAATAATCAAGAAGTTGGGTATTCAAAAAGTTTACTTGGTCTCCACTTGAATGGATGAGGTGTAGTTATAGTTTTGGTGAGTCCTGTTACAAATGTGGAGAGCTGGTAGGTGTGCCAAATTAGGTTGATCAAAAGATGGAATCAGAGAAGATAATGTTAAGTGAAGTTAGCCAATCCCAAAAAACCAAATGCTGAATATTTTCTTTGATATAAGGAGGCTGATTCATAGTGGGATAGGGAGCTGGAGCATGGGAGGAATAGACAAATTCTAGATAGGGCAGAGGGATTGGAGGGGAAGGGAGGGGACATGGGGTTAGAAATGATGGTGGAATGTGATGGACACTATTATCCAAAGTACAGGTATGTGTATACAACCAGAGATATGAAAAATTGTGCTCTATATGTGTAATAAGAATTGTAATGCATTCCACTGTCATAGGAAAAAAAAAAGTAGCCCTGGAATCTCTGTTATTTAGATACATTTGCAAATGGTGTTGACCCCGCCCAAAGACAGACAAACATGTACTCCACCCCACATACATACAACATCCCCTCAAAAGCAATTGGTTTGTTAAGACATTTTCAAAGAAACCTTTGCAATAAAAGTAAACATGGCCACAAACACATTAGAAAATGTGTTTCCAATAGAGAAATCACTAGCTATGTATAACTTTACAAATATAACTATTTAAACTTAAATTAAGATGAAATAAAGTAAAAAAAAAATCTGCTCCTTCATCACACTGACCACATTTCAAGTGCTCAGTAGTCACATGTAGCTAATTACTACTGTGTCGGACAGCAAGAACATTTCTATTTCTATTATCATATAGATTCTGAAACAAAGCAGAACTAATTCATTGGTTAAGTTTTACTTTAATTCAGCTTTATTTCAACCTGAGCAAGTAATCTAGTATTTTCAAGTAACCAGTATTTTCAACTTGAGTGATAGCAGGGTTTTTTTTTTTTTCAATTGTTGTTTGCATGTTTTTTTTTTTCAAATTGTTGTTTGCAAAAGTTCTTGCAAATGAACAGATTTTTATGCTGATCTAAATTTCCATAAATGAATTTCTGACTTTATGTTTTAGTTTATTCAAACATATTGCATTCTTCAAGGTTTATTCTACTTACATATTGAGTTTCATTATCACTTTTATCTTCTCTATATTGCTGTTGTTTCTGGCCCTTGGAGGTTATTTGGTGAGCCCAGCTGTCTTTTGTATTTTACTTTTAAAATATTTTATCTATCATTTCTATGTATTTGGAACAGGTTGTTGGTGGGGGCATGAATGTACATGAACGCTTTAATTTACTTTATGATCTCTGCAGAAAAGAGTTAACATAGCATGTCTGCAACAGCTCTCTTTCGGAAGTCTTTCTTGCAAGGTACCCTTTAGCTGTCATTTGAGAATTTGGCTGTCAGATCAGTCCTGGTCAATAGTTAACTGATAATATTGGTTTACTGTGCCTAAATGGTTTAAATAATAGAATTTATGCTAAATAACTGTGTTCCATCTAGTTCTGCAATTTTTGTAGGTGTCAGGGAGAGGCTGCCTGTGTGACCAGTCCCCAATGGGCGTTGAGTCTCTAAAGGGCTTCCTGAGGCAGAACCATGGGACACAGAAGGCACTTTTGTGGCTGGGTGAAGAATAATGCTTTGTAGGTCCCCTCCTGGAAGGGAAAGAGAATAAGAAAATCTGTGCATGGAATTTCTCCCTATTCTTGCATTTTCCCTTTCTAACTGAGATGTTTATTCTTATTAATTTGCTGTAAAAGGTCTTAGCTATGAGTACAACTAAATTCTTCTGGGGGATCTCCTAACATGGGGGTAGTTGTGGAGACTTTTGATATACCATCTTGTACAAAAGTTCTGTTTTTATTTTTTTAAAGGAAAGATAAAAGGACTTTCAATGTAAGCAACTAATGAATATCAATATTTAAACCAAGACAGACTTATGTTCCCCTAAACTAAAAATGTTTTCCAGAGGGTTAGAGAAAATGAAATAGTGTTTAATATAAATATATATGTGGAGGTGCCTGGTGCATAGTAGGAGTTCAGATTTGGCTTGTATTTGTCTTTATCCTATTCTTCTACCCCCAGCCCCATTAGAACCCAATGTCTTCATAAGTGGGTGGACATTATAGTACATTTATTTGTCTATTTTTTCTGATGCTATTTTCTTTGCTAGAAAGCACACAATATATTTTAAAGTTAGAATATTAACCAGGTTTGTTCTTTTAGCATCTGGTGTTTGAGGCAGTTTGAGTTTTTATCCCCATGTTTTTCCTTGTGTGTTCCTACCAACTGAATCTCATTTGCTCTTTCTAAAAGGAGAAATATGAAACACAGAGGCTTCATGGCTTTGAAGTCAGCAGGGTCAAGCAGGAGAGCTCATAACTGAAATCTAAAATGCGTATGTTTTCTTCTTCACAAGCAAAGGGGAAGAGAGAAGGCCATGACCCAAACTACTAGCACATTGGTGGATGAACAGTAGATATTAAGGCAATTACTAGAGCTTACATTTCAGGTCTGGGATATGTGGCAAGGCACTTACTTCCTAACACTGGGCCAAGTGACTTAAGATTTTATCTATTTATTTGATTATTAAATGTATTGCATAAACATGATCCATAAGTCAGGTCACTGACCAACATGTAATCAAAAGGCACACGGCAATATTAAGGGCTCGGAGGTGATAGCCCTCAAGACAAAACATTTTGTCCTCTAAATGTACAGTTATCATCATCCCCTTTTCACTTCTAACCCTTCCTGATTGCACAAATTTGGGTTTCTTTTTGTGAACTTGAGTCAAGTTGTCAGCAATGTTCTAATGAATGCTGATATTTCTATATAATAATCTGTCGACATCTCACTGTGTCCCAAAGTGAATTCAATTCAGAGAAGAAGGTTACTAACTCTTAGTGAGTACCATCATCCCTCAGTATCTGTGAAGGACTGGTTCCAGGAGATCCCACGGACACCAAAATCCATGGATGCTCAAGTCTCTTATATAAAATGGCATAATATTGCGTACAACCTATAATATCCTCTGATATACTTTAAATCCTCTTTTAGGTTTCTTACAATATCTTATTCAATGTAAAACCTATATAAGTAGTTATTATGCGGTATTATTTAGGGAACCATGGCAAGAAACAAAGTCAACCATGTTCAGTACAGGTGCAGCCATCAGAGACCTACCTGCATAGCACTTGAGTGAGGAGCAGGCAAATGATGCTGCAGAAATGAGTGCCAGAGAGACATGAGACCTGTGAAATGGAGGGAGGCTATAGCATTTAATTCACATTAATTCAGCATAATGCTTTGTGCAAGCCAAATTCAAGTTTTGCTTTCTAGAACTTTTCTGCAATTTTTTCAAAAACTGTTTTTGATCTATAGTTGGTTGAATACATAGACGTAGAACCCACAGGTATGGAGGGATAACTTTGTTGTATATCACTTGCCATGCTGAGGGTATCCATATATGTCACTTGATTTGATTTAGTTTTGTGTCTGAAATAATCATGCAATGGAGGCACTGGTCTTGGTAGTAAATATTATGAGGAAGGGGATGCCTCATAACAGTCTTGGGATGTTCATTCAGTGGTCCACAGGCTCTAAAGAGGTTGCACAGATTACAATCATTTTGGCTATCTTCCAGCTTTGTGAAGCTGGCAGGGGAGACCTTCATCTATATCCCTCTGCCATTCCTGAATGAATTGTAAGTACCTTGCAGTCAGCAGGCAAATCACTCAATCTAGTTCTCCATTTCCAGTGTCACTTCTTTGATGAATGACGTAATTATAAAAACTTCAGAAATACTCAAAGTCAGTGCTTCAGATTCCCAGCCCAGCAAACACCCAGAGGTCATCTCCCAAGTCTCAGGCTATTCATTTGATGCTTTTTGCTCCTTATCTATTTCTCCTGCTGCTGTTTCTTCTGGCTTCCTCCTTACCTGTTGATTCTATATTGACCTTTCAGATGCAGACACTTCTAAGTCGTGTAAGTAACATCAGATATTATTATCCCTGCTCTGACTGCAAAATTTCCAAATGTTCTATTTCAAAAAAGCACTGACCAGGAGAACATCTGGTTATCTACCACTGCTCACACATGCAGCCTGTAGCACATCTATTCTTTCTCAATGAAGACCTTTATTTTCATACATTTGACCCACTGGCTCAAAGAAAGGAAGGGAGTTGGGGCTGGGGATGTGGCTCAAGCCGTAACGCGCTTGCCTGGCATGCGTGGGGTGCTGGGTTCAAACCTCAGCACCACATAAAAATAAAGATGTTGTGTCCACCGAAAACTAAAAAATAAATATATTTAAAAAGGAAGGGAGTGGATGCAGGTGCAGAAGAATTAAAAAACATATGGTTACATGACTTGCCATAGCTCTGAGCACATTTACCATGAAATTAAAATTGTACACCATTACCAGCTGTAGAATTTTTACAAACCATGAATGTTTTGGGATTCTAGTATCTCACTCTGTGGTAATCTTTGCTATAGCAAAGATGTAGCTAGAAGTAATAGAACAGAATAATGTTTGTTGAACATCTTTGTTATTTCCTAGATTATATCTAAAGACATGTAAATGGTGAGAGCTGATTATTCAAACTGCGACTATCACCCCAAATGTCTCTAAAAATAAGTTTCCAAGTAGAAAATGATGACATTCTAGATTAGGTTGCCATTTGCTTCTTTAGCAAGAGCTAGACCTACATTTTTAAGTCTGTGGGATCTTTTTGTCTTCAAATCAACTATTAGAATACTACAAAAGAATTTCCACTGGGTGTGTTATGTGTACTTTCTGGATAAAGACCAAACTAGAACTCTGCTCCTGCCCTCTCTTCTTTGAAGGCTCTGAAATCATACCCAAGGATCTTTGGTCTTTGTGGATCATAAGGGATTATTATATGTTCTGATGGAAACAGAAAAAAATTCTCTTGTCAGAAGGACTGGGAATTTGAATCCGAGCTCCACTGAAAATACTTATAGATCTCAGCCATTTATTTAATTTTGCAGAGTATTAGTTTTCTCAATTTTGAAAAATAATTGGGAGAAATAGTACATATATGAGAACTTTTAAGAATTGAATATGATTTGTAGAGTGTGGTATACAGTAGGGATTTCACAGAGGCTAGTATTCTTTCCCTCTTCCTTCAAGTTAGAATGAGAAGGAGGCGCTTTTGTTAGAATGAAAGTCACGACATTTGGGGATGGGAGTTTGGGTGCTGTCTAGGACATACTGCTATATATGAAGATTGGTTTAGATCAGAGTTGGGAGCCAGGCCAGAGAAGATGAGAGCTGGTTGGTTTAGGAGAGAGTAACAAGAGGAAAGCCAGGGGACAGAGGAGAGAGAGCCATAAAGATGACCAACTCAAGTCCTGCCCAGTGAGAGGATCCTTATATAATGGGATACAGAAGACGGTAAAACGATTCAGGGCTGAAAAATAAACTTCACCAACTGAACAGGGGATGGGAGCCTGATGAGTTTATAAGGGCATCTCCAAGATAAATGTCACTACTTGTGATTGGTTATGGAGAGGATAGGCAGATTGTATCAGAGAACTTCTAAACTGAAAGGAGATTTATTTTTCTTCTGGTCCATTTTCCTTAGCTTATGGACAAGGAAACTGAGGTGCAGAGAGGTTAAGTGACCAGTATAGAGTCTTTCACCGAGTTAGTAATAGGATTGCGGTCTCATATGTCGGTATCTATTGCCTGCTCCTCCAGTTTGCCCCTTATTTCCAGGTCAGACTGCACACCGTTCCACAGCCTCCTCTAGCAACTGCTGATGATGCGCATGGCCCAGAAGGTAAATTCTCAAATAAGAAATCCTGTTTTACATATACTTGAGTCTCATCTATTAACCGTATTTTCTAAAAGTCAATATACCCACAATAAATCTAACTATTTTAGATAATCAATAGTGTGTTAAATGCAGTAACCCTGACACAAGAGAAACAATTCGCATAGATAAAATGAGGGAGTTTTGATATAAAATAGAACTACATTTCAAACCCCTAGAGAGAGTGGGGCCATAGCAAGTCTGATTAGGAGTAGAAACATTAAAGTACCTTCCCAAGTTAATTTCCATCAAGGATTAGGTTTTGTCTAGGGCAGAAAAAGCAAAGACTTGTTAGTTAATTCATTAGGATTTTTTAAAAGATATTTTAAATTAAAATAATAAAT